CTTCTGCCTTATTTTGCTGAATGACTCTGTTATTAATAGAGAGGAGTGGTAGAACCTGCTTTTATTTTATTTTATTTTATTTACAAGAAAACACACTGTCTTACACTTGATCAGCACTTTTATTTGTATGAACTCTGCAATTCCGCCCCAAGACATTGTAAAACATGTATAAGTAGCCCCATTTTGAGGAAATTGAAGGTCAGATTGCCTTAAGGAACACCTAGGACATAACCCAGACACAGTCTAATTCAGTCATCTAATTCTAACTTTCCTCTAGGCTTATGCCATCCAATATGGTGGTCACCAGCTACATGTGGCAGTTAAGCACTTGAACTGTGGTTAGACTACATTGAGATGAGCTGTAAGAGTAAAATACAAAAATTTAGTACAAAAAATGTAAAATATTTTGTTAATGTTTATGCTAATTACACATGGAAGTGATACAATTTTGAATATATTACCTTAAGGATAGAATTAAAATTAATTTCACCAGTTTCTTTATACTTTTCAAATGTAATGTGGATATTATAAAATATTAAATTATACATATGGCTTGCATTTGTGGTCAGCATTATCTACTGGATGACATTGTTCTAAATCAAAGCCGACATGTTTTCAGACTCACAACCTCAGGTCACGCCAATACAGCCCTCAAATCACCCCAAGACCCCTGGGAGGTGAGAGAAAACCCAACAGATTGCATGGTAGCTAAGCTCCTGTTTTTCATGTTTTGATATTTCCTCATGAAAGGGAAGAAACTGGGCACCATGGGGGTAACCCAGGGAGGGACCAGATGCTGATAACTAGGCAACTTCCTTTGAAGTGTGATCTTGTGTCAAAAGGTCTTTCCAAACGTATTTGGGTTAACAAAGAACTGGGGCAAAGTTCAGACCTCTGAGCCAGGAAGCTCTCTCCTCCACATCAGTGTAGGGTGAGTATGTCGGAAGAGATGGGGGTACCTCTGTACTGAGAAGTCTGTTATAAGGGGGGCAGACAAGCTAAACAAGAGGGCCAGAGAGGGAGTATAAAAGCCCGGCCAGAAAGAAACTCAGCCATCGAAAGCAAGTGATTCCTTTCACTTATTCATTCATGTAGCAAGTTTTTACAGTAAGTTACTTATCGTTACTAATTGTCTAATGTTATCTACCAGGCACTGACTGTTCCCCGTTCCAGGGATAAAGTGATGATCTGCCATCACTAGAGGTGGTTATCAACAGCGTGGAAGATGGCTCACTACCTCCTCTAGGTTACACTCAGGCAAGTGGGAAGGGGAAAGAGGAAGTGAGAACACTGTCCTTCCTTCTAAGGATGTTGAAGGTCAGACTGCCTTAAGGATCACCTAGGACAGAAAGAGGGAGAGGGAGAGAGGAAGAGAGAAACATTAATGTGAAAGTGAAACACACGTCACTTAATTCACATTCCATGGGTCAATACCTAGTCACAGCATCACACCTAGAAGCAAGGGAGTCTGGGAAATGTAGTCTTTATACTGAATGACAGGTATCCTGCTAAACATTTTTTTAATGAAGGAAGAAGAAAACAGAATTTGAGGGACAATTCTCAGCACTGATAAATTGCACAACTACCGTGCTGACCATGTCAACAATAGGACTGCATTTCTGCAAAGACCAGAGCCTGACGATTCTTGATCAGTCTAACAGAATTTACTTATTTAAGGCTAGAGAAGGAAGACAGCATGGTCAGGACTCATATTAGAGAGATCAGCATCATTTTCCAGGACATACAGAGGCGAGCACTTCCAGAACACAAAATTCTCTCTAAGAGAATACACCCAGTTGCAGACAATACCCAAGAGAGTAGAGCTCACATTAAATTTTCAGGAAGCCTAAGAAGAAACAAAGTAGGGTAATGAGATGGAAGAGAGTTGGGGTAGGAGGTGTCTGGCTATTTATTAGCAAGTGTGTATCTCTAGGGAGCGAATATTTGAACCCCTGAAGAGTTGGAAAGCCTTCCTCATGGAAAGTGTTCCAGGCATAGGGAACAGCAGATGCAGAGAGTTTGAGATAAAGATTCGCTTTGATGTGTAATCAGAAGCAAAGTTTTCCAGAGTGACTGGAGTGTCGTGAGTGAGAAAGAGAGGGAATACAAGGGCAGGAAAAGAAAGAAGAAGGGAGAAGGAAGGCAGCTCGCACGTTTACACTGGGGGGAGGGAGCATCTGTATCAGACAGGGGGACAGTAGCTTCTGCTTCCATCAGGTATTCTCTTGTGGTTGTCCCCTGGCAGATTTCCATTCAGATGGCCCCAAACTAGAGCTAAGGAAGGGGATTTGGCATCAGCTCTCTCTAGGCTCATAGTCTTCTTCTTTCCTTCCATTCATTTTCCTTATCTGTTTACTCACGACAAAAATACCGGCCCTGCCCTGCCTTCCTTCCAGGGTTGCCGTGAAAATCAGATGAAAGAGGAGGCGTGACGGTGGCTGTCCTGTGCAGTGTTGAGTTCTGGGGGAGGGAAGCATAGTGTCCCACACCCAGGGAGGGCTCGATATCCTTATCTATATTGTTATGGTAGCAGCTGGTTTCATCAATTTTCAGGCCTTGACTTCAAAATCTCAGTTTTGATTTTGAAATATCTTTCTTTTCCCAATGTACTAATTAATGATGGGTTTGTTTTTCTTGTAAAAGTGGGTGCTAGGATATTTTTAGGAGATTCCTCTTTGTCAAGGACCCCTGAGGCTTGGTGCAGAGTGGTGTGTGTTGTGCCCAATGAAACATTTAGATTATTTGTCGGATGAGGGCTCTGCCGCCTGCATCCCTACAAAATGTACATATGGATAGCCTGGCCAGAGTGACTCGGTTGGTTGAGTGTCATCCTGTGCAATGAAAGGTTGCCAGTTCAATTTCTGGTCAGGGCACATACCTGGGTTGTGGGTTTGTTTCCCAGTCATGGAGCCTACGGAAGGCAACTACTCAATGTCTTTTCTCTCTCTCTCTCTCTCTCTCTCTCTCTCTCTCTCGCTCTCTCTTTCTCTTTCTCCCCCTCCTCTAATCATGTTCTCAAATGAATATTTTAAAAAATGTATATATGGGCTTGACTTTACATAAAAGTCAACATTTTCTGAATTTCTTTTCATGACAACCTAGACATACCCTGTTTAAAACATTATTAAATTCTGTTTATTTTCTCTGACTGTGCCATATGCTTTTCCCAGGAAACTTTGAAACTTTTTGCTTAGCACAGGACTTTGGAACCATTTTTTTCACGGTTACTTTCCATTCCTGGGGGCTGGGGAGTTGAGAGGTGGTTGTGGGTAGATAACTTCTTTAACTCCAGTTCCATCTGAGTGTCGATCATTTATATCCACCCAGCTGCCCACTCATCCTTCCACTGAACATCTTCTGTATACCAAGCTTCATGGCAAATTAAGGGACTGCACGTACAAAGATGAAAAAGACAGTCCATGCCCTTAAGGGCCTTAATGTCTAAAAGGGAAGACAGTGCATGTGGTATTACAGAGCAGTGTGCCAGGCACTGTGAGAAGGAATGTATGGGGGGGGTGGGGTGGGCAGAGGACCATCCCTGTTCCAGGAGTGATGGCTGAGGAAACCTTCCTAGAGGCGATTACACCTGCACTGAGTCCCAAGGATAAAGGGGGTCAGGGAAGGCTTTCCACCCAGTGGAACCAGCAAGTACAAAGGCATATCCTGGGGTGGAGCATTTGCATGGTACCAAAACTTCGATCTGTTTTAATGTAGTCAGAGCGTCGGACACAGGATGGGGATGGAGAATGCTACGTGATGCTGGAAAGGTAGATTCTCATGGCAGCAGCATAGATAAGAGCAAGAAGCCGAAGCAGTTCACCCCTTCACGAACTCCTGCCTGGATAAACATAGAAAATTATAGACTTTTTTCCTTTGAAAAAAACAATGCCTACTTACTAGTTTAAAAATATAGGATGACACACAAAAAAACAATCCCTCAGAAATAATTAATAAAAATATTTTGATGTGGTTTCAGGGTCTTTTCTGTTTTTCTGCCGGGCTTTTAATAGGCTCTCTGCCTCCTTTCCTATTGTTTCGAGGCTTAGAGGGACGTCAAAGCCTCTTTTCCTGGAAAAATGGTGCTCGTGACTGGCAAAACCAGTGAGAGAGACACGGTGGCACATCCCGGAGAAGCCAGACTCCTTAGCGTCTATTTACCACCTTGCAGAAAGCTCCAGAGGAAGAACCTGAGGTCATCATCTCCTGGAACAGGCTCCCCAGAGCTCTGAGCTCAGGATGTGCATCATGAGCCCTGGCGGCCGGGAGGAGGGAGGAGTCCCAGGGGCACCTTCACTTTTCCGGGGCTCCTTGGAGAGCCAGGCATTCTGGGGAAGGCAGGCTTATTAACTGTGTCTGGTGCCTGGGCTCAGCATGGATGTGAGGAAGACAGGAGGCTGGGGTGCAAGGCTGGGAGCAGGCACACACACACACACACACACACACACACACACACACACACACACACACACACACACAGTGCTGAGAGGGCCCTGGACACAGCTCACGTGCAGTTCTGGACTGTCGGGTCTATGGAAGACCTAATGGTCATTTGTCCCCCAGTCTAAGGGCAGAAACCGAGGCATGGGGAGCGAATGTGGCCTGAAGGACCAGGCTGGTCCATGTGAGAGGAGGGAGGGACCCCTGGTTCCTGACCCCGTGTTCTCGCCACGCATGGCGCTGATCCATCGGTGGTATGGATTCTAGGCAAGTCATCTCTCTTGGTCATGAATGTTCCCATCTGGAAAACTAGGTTGATATTGCTTGCTTTCCCTTCTGGGGGAATGTTCTCAACATAGTATATAAACTAATACAAGATTGGGAGTCAGCAGACCTTGATCTGAGGTCTAACCCTGTGGGATCTTGGGCAAGTCACTTTATCTATCTGAGCCTCAGTTTACCCTATTTAACATGAGGGGAATGATAACCTTACCAATAATAATAGCATTCTTTTTTTAAAAATATATATATTTTATTGATTTTTTTACAGAGAGGAAGGGACAGGGATAGAGAGTTAGAAACATCGATGAGAGAGAAACATTGATCAGCTGCCCCCTATCCCGCCCCCACACACACTGGGGATGTGCCCGCAACCAAGGTACATGCCCTTGACCGGAATCAAACCCGGGACCCTCCAGTCCACAGGCAGACGCTCTATCCACTGAGCCAAACTGGTTAGGGCAATAATAGCATTCTTGAATCCTCACTATGGCCAGGCAGTAATCCTCTCAATAACCTTGTGAGGGATGCACTATTCCCATTTTAAAAGTGAAGGAACTGAGGCTCAGAATTTAATTAACTTGCCTAAGGTCTCCTATCTACTTCACAGGGTTTAACATAAGAATTATATGAACTGTTTGGTGTTTTTCAACTATGAGACCATTGAGACACTCATATGTAAACATACTCTATATTGAGATTTTTTTTCAATGTAAATATATTGAGGTGTTGTTGTGTGCCGCGCCAGCACGGCCAAGGGCGAACCTGAGGAGGGGCAGTGAAGGATTAAAGAAGACAGACAAAGAGAATACAGCTGGGGCTTTGCGGATCTCCCATGCCTGGATGAGGACACAGAAAGATCCAGCCTGCAAGCCGATGCTTTGTTTTATAGTCTCATTAAAACAAGGGTCGATTAACATGTATGCAAATGTTCTTGTTTTGGCAACACTTGCTGCACCTCCCACAGCCCATTGGCTACTTAGGAAGGAATTAGGGAGAGCTACAGGGTCAGGCTTAATTATGCTAGGAGAGCTCTGCCCTTCAGGCTGGGACTTGTTTGTGACCCTGCCACAGGTCAGCCCGAGGCTTGACCCTAGACCCGCTCCCTACATTGTTGTTTTTTTAATTCTCAGTTATTACTGTTTGATGTTATTCACCAGATGTTATTGGAATTGCTGCTGAATGTGAAGAACTATGTTAGGTGCTGGAGAGGAGGGCACCTCACACTCCCTGCTGTCATGGAGGTCACATTAGCAGATAAGGCGGCCGCCCAAGTACACATGGTGATGGCTGAGGCGCTTGCTAAACTGCATCACCGTGAGACGTGGGCCTGGTGGTGGTGAGGGCTGAGCTTTGTCTGAAACAGAGGTTCCCAGCCCTGGCCATGGCAGCCACCTCCAGACTTCCCGAGCCCCCGGGAGAGGAATGAGCCCGGCATCACTGTTCTTTAAAGCCTCCCAGAGGGTTCTCTACGGCCCCCAGGGTTGAGAACTGTGGATCTAGACAGGTGAAGACACCTCTGGAGGGGGTACATCTAAGTGAGGGGCCGCTGCAGTTTGAAGATGGTTCATTCTAACTGCCCCTGACAGCTTTGCCGGCTGGAAGTTTTTCTCTTCTGACAGGAGGGCTGAGGCCACCCTCAGGAGCGGCCCCCAGGTGTGCTGGCCTCCTGAGAAACATGGCCGCCTGTAAGCCTCCCCCCCACTCCACCCCAGAACCTCTTAATTACTGTCTGCCTCCTCTGCTTCTCTGCTCAGGGCATCAGGCAGCCGCTGAGCGAGTGGTTTCCTTGGGAACCAATGGCCCCTGGCTCACCTCTGCTCCGCTAGCTGCTGCGGAGCAGGGGGTAAGTGCGGAGTAAAAGAAGGGTCCTTGGAGATGGGACTTTGAAGACAGGTCTCCCCCTTCATCTGTCAGGCTGCAGGTGGGTCACTGCTCCCCAGACAGGCTGCATCTTGTGGTCCCCCTGCATGTCACACAGCCGGGCCTGGAAGACACAACCTCAAACACCACATGCACAAACAGCTCAGACAATCCTGACATAAATCCTACGAGGTAGACAGTATCACCCAACTGGGAGACTTTGGACAAGTTAATGAAACTCTGAGTTTCAGGTTTTTAACCCATAAAATGGGATAATAATACCTCCCTCACAAGTTGTTTTATACAACACTGAATAATATGTAGGGACCCCCTTTGATGCTGACATGTGGGCTGAAGGCTGATGCCTACCTCACCTCTCAGGCTATGAAGTCACACCTAGACCAGGTTGGAGGATGTGTCGTTAGCAGTGTAGTCAAGAGGGCTGTTGGGGCTGGACACCTCCCTTGTCCTCAGCTTTGCTGGATGCAGGCAGGCGCCCCCTACAGACGGGGGGCTGCTCCTGGAGCAGCAGTGGAGGCCAACCACTTGCCCCCTGTGCCAAGCAGGAAGGCTGGAGTTGAACTTGCCCTTGCATTCCCCCCCCCCGAAGTTGCTGACCAGAGAGGCCCCACCTCCACATATGTGATGTAAGCCGAGGGGCAAAGAGTCCATAAGTGTCTCAGTGGGCAGTTTCCTCTGTCCAGAGACATGCCACAGGCGGGGAAGCAACACTGCACTCCCTTCCCCGGCCCTTCACACATTTACACATTAAACCCTGGCATCTCAGAGCTAAAAGTGTTCCAACGATGACCTTCCTAGACCGACCTGCTCATTCACAGAAGAAGGGACTGAGACATGGGGAGAGAGAATGACTGGATGCAGGAGTGGAGCCGAGACCAGGACAGGGCCTCCTGGCTCCCGGGCCTGCGTCCATTTCATGTCTGGGGTGGAGCTGGCAGAACTGTTCCCAGGTCCCTGCCCTGGAGCGTGAACACCTCCAGCCAGGCTCACCCCCAGCAAGCATTGCGTGTGGGGGGTCTACACCACGCACACCTTGCCACTCCTTTCTTCTATTAAATATCTCAAATATCTCTATGAGTAAATGAGATGAGATGCCTCTGGGCAGCCTCTACTCTGTTCAGTCGTAGCATGTCTAACTATTCATTAATACATAGCCTTTACTCTGCATTTATTAAGCAAATGCCCATTCTCTAACAGGTAGTCCTTGTCCTTGTGTTTAACGTAAAACTGGCACCAAACAGAAAAAATAACTCTGAACTGTCGCCTTCCAGCTGCGTCTGACACCTCCACATCCGGACTCTGCCTTCTGGACCCAGGCTTTGCTCTTGACCACACATCCAGGCAGTGCCACTCCCAATGTGACTCAGCACATAGCAGTGCGACTGTCTTCCCCATGCTGGCCTGCGGGAGTCTTTCTAATCATAAAATATTACAACTGGAAGGGATCGTACAGATTATCTGGCCCAGTGAATTTTAAAATTCTCATTTCCTTAGTGAAACTCTTTTATAGCACAAAATCTTATGTGGGATTCTGAATGCAGAACGGCTTGGATGAAGCAGGGGCTGCAGGGCTAGAGGCACACGGGGCTTTCCTCTTGCCCTGCTGCCTCCCCGCTTCCCAGCCCGCTGAGATCAGGGGCCCATTTCACAGATGAGCAAAGTGAGTCCCAGAAAATGAAATCTAACAGTCGGTGAGCAAACTTCTGAACCTTGATTCTATATTCCATAGCAAGTCACTTGCCAAGAATAAGACATGCTTTTTTTGTTTGTTCTCATGTGTTAAAATTCTGATATTCCTGGCATTAAATGAATGAATAAGTGAACTTTTTCTTTACTAGTGGGGTTGCTCTTTCAATTAGTTTGTCAAACATTTGTCAAGCATGGGATCTTATCAGGTGCTTAAAAAATTCATGATCTGAATGCAGATACCAACAAAAATCAAATCCTGGTGCTAATGAAAATCAGAGCGCCTATAGTTAGCATCAAATCCCATTGCAAGTAACAGGCACCCCAAGGAATTGTGGCTTACCTGTGTTTCTCTCTCATGTTCAGATCTGGAGACAGAGAGTTCAGGGCTAGTTTGGTGGCTCTGTTCCATCAAGTTCTCTGCCACTCCTTAGAGCAATGGTTCTCAACCTTGGCTGTACATTAGAATCACCTGGGAATCTTTATAAAATCCTGATTTCTGGGCCTCATCCTCCGGAAATTCTGTTTCTTTGTTATGGGGCGGGGCCACAACATACATTAGTAACAAAGAAACAGAATTTCCGGAGGATGGGGCCCAGAAATCAGGATTTTAAAAAGATTCCCAGGTGATTTTAATGTGCAGCCAAGGTTGAGAACTGTTATGCCCAGAGTTCGGGGTCCCCAATAATTCACCACCAGGGAGCCTTTTCCAATGCAAAAGCAAAGAGTCTTTTATTCAAACCCAGGTTTGGCTCCCAGTCTCTGTCCGACGCAGCGGTGAGACGAGAGAGAGTGTCCCGGGAGAACAAAGGTTATATAGGGCAAGTTATTTGGGTGGGCTTTAGGGGTGACGTGAGTTACAGAGATTGGTCATTTAGGTCAGGGTTTTATAGCATAAGGGTCAGGAAGTGACCAATACATTCTGAAGGTTAGAGCCGTCCTCCACTATAGCCTTATTAGGACCTTAGCTGCATTTCTGGAGCTTCATTGGTCCACTCAGGTGGTGGTTGGGGGAGTTAGGACAATACCAGTATTCTTGTGGTCACTCTCAGAAAAGGGGGGGCGGGGTTTGGGCTGAGGGCCCAGCCTTGCAAGACAAGATAGAGGAGAGGGAGGAGAGTGTGTCTCTGCTCCATCCTTGAAAAGGGAGGAGGGTGTGTTTCTGCTTTGTCCTTTCAAGAACCACTGCCTTAGAGTATGGCCCTCGACTTCTTGGACCACAATGGTGGCTGGACTTCTAGTCATATCCATCCAACAGCAGGATGCAGAAAAGGACAAAGAAGAAAGGGGGCAAAGGGCCTAGGCCAGATACATCTTAATGGAATTTTCCAAACATTTTCAAAAATACATTCTATTTATATGCCATTGGCTGGAAATAGTCATATGTCATCCCTAACTATGTTCCAGGCAGCCATGTGCCCAGCTGAAAATCAGGGGTTGAACTGTAATGAAAGATGGGGCAAATGAATACTGGAGGGTGCTCTGCCCCAGAGTGGGTTTCTTATGTTTTTTTCCCCCCTCTATTCTTTGATTCTCATAAAGAGTTTGAGGGAGCCTTCAGGTATCGAATGTGTAGGGTGGAGGAAGTAAGGTGAACCCAATAGAGGGAGGGTCTGATGGAGGCAGATGCGGGCCAAATGAAGTGTGAGTAGTTCAGGGAAGTCTGTGCTAAGTGCTCAACAAATTTTGTGCTCCCATGTGTTCATATATCTCATACCCTCGGCAGGGTTGTGCAGGTAAAGTGTTTGTTAATTGAACAATAATAATGTTGCTTAGTACAATAGAACATTACCTGACACTGGCTCCTGTTTTGGAGGTAGAGGAGTTTATGGCAAAAAATATTAAAGAAACAAAATAAGAAAAAACCTTCTAAATTTATGGGAACATTTAATAGTGAATAGTCAAGGCGTGCCAAAGACCAAAAATCTATCGCACAAAAACATGGCAAAGCTAATGTGGAAAAAAAAAAAGCTAATGTGAGATGAGGGTGTATAAAACACCATTATTTCATTTTGGGACTAATGTTGGCAGCTGTGGACAGTGGGGCTGCTTTAAATAATGAATCAGAATTATCGAATCACATGATCAATAATGACAGGCCTTTTTAAATTTAAGATCAGGTTAAAAAGCGCATTTGGGTCTTATCTCTGTGTACAATGTATGAAGTATGGACAGTTTCCTATCACTGGCAGACATCCCTGCATCTGCGATAGGAATGCATTTAATAGACCAAACCAGTGCAGCTTTCTTTCGGGAAATTTCAATTTCATTGCAAGCAATTTACATAGAGAGTCGCAGCTTGAATTCATAGCTTATATCTTGGTTGCTTTGGAGATGGCTTCTCTGTTGGAAAGGCAATTACGACCCGCAGGAGAAGCCTGCCTACCATTAGTCTCCAGTTTTAAACACTGACAGGTGGAGATGGAAGTGGGGGTGGGGGTGCTTAATAAAGGGCTTTGTCTTTCTAGTCCACGGGAGGAAAGGGATTTAAGTGTCACGATTTCCCGGTTTCCAAAGATTTTTTTTTTCCTGAACATTTCAAGCTTTTGACCAAGATGAGAACATGAGTCTTTTGTAATTAGTGAGTTTTGTTACCTTAAGAATATAGAGACAAATATATGAAAGGACCAAAAGTCAATCCCTTGAAGGCATGGGGAAAAAAAATCTAGTGAGACTATAACGTTTGCCTGGAGCTTCTGGATGTGCATAGCTTTGAAATCTGTACAGCGACTTTTGCTATAATCTTTGTCCCTAGGGAGAGTGGACTTACTTTCCGGTTGCGGTCGCTGATGCTGAGGGCCATTGCACCACAAAGCAGTCTTTATGATGTGTTCCTGAGATAGCTTTTCCCCTTACCAGCTGATATGATGAAATGGTTGTGTTTGCAAATTAGATCATGCTTCAGCCAAACAAATGTGTATTTTATGAGTGACTTACTCTCTGCGAGTCCCTGACATAGCCCAGAGGCTTGTGCATTCAAATCAGAGGCCTGAGCCCAGACCGGCCAGCATTTCCATCTAATTGACTTTGGCATGGTGACCCCAGGTTCCTTCTTCTTTAATCACTTTGTATTAGAGGCTAAAAGGCTGTAATTATTTAAGGTAGCTGAAATTTGAGTGACCCAGATAATTATCTCAGCAAGATGGGCTTAAAGTTTATTGACACAAATGCCAGTTTCATAAAAGGCTTGGTACAAAAGGTAAGTCCGTGAGACAGCTGGTTGACTGAGGTGAATTGACAATAAATGGCACCAAAGCCACAGGGCTCACCAGGGACTTTGAAGTAGTTGCCATCATTTCCATAATACAGTTAGCAGAGGATTGTGGGAGGTAAGTTATCACACTTTGCATTGCCCAAATCGAGGCTAAGTGCTTAGAATTAGAGGGTTTCTTACCTCATCATTCCTCAGCGTGGACCCCGTAGGTCCATGGCTCAGACTCTACCCAGGCATATGCTTAGCCAAAGGCATGTGCCCTTGACTGGAATCGAACCTCTCCTCCCCCTCAGTCTCTCTCTCTCTCTCTCTCTCTCTCTCTCTCTCAAATCTAAAAATCTAAAGTTCTGAATATTGACAAGAATTTTCCAAAAGTTTTCTCATACATTGAAATACATTGTTCTATATTTAAACATCAGTAGGCATTTCTTATATTACAGTTTGATGTTCTTTATAATTTCAAAGGATCAAAATCTACCACACATTCAAGTGGGCATGGCAAAATGCAGGTCTTTTTAAGGAGGAATTTCTGATAAATATCCATAGGTTATTCATTAAACATTTACTTAAAACCTACTATGTGCAGTGCATTCTGGAGTAATTTAAAACATGTTCTTAATAGATAAAGTTTGACATTAAAGTATTCCAGAGCAATCATTTAGCTCAATTGTTTCATCCAACAAATGACAAAACTTTTTTTTTTTAAAGTCAAGGCATTCATTGAAAATCACCTAGATTCTAAATTTCTTACATCTAAATCAGTAGTGTTGACACAGGAAAAGTCTGCTTTCAAAATATTTGTTGTTTCCTACTTCTTTCTCCTTTATGACATTTATGCCAGCAGGCCATCAAGCCACATGTTCAATTTAGAGGTAAAGAATCCTACACTCACCCAGATGATGTTTCATGTATGAAGACAACAGAGAGGCATTGTCAGGCACTTAAGGATAGAACAAACATCTTTGTTGAAACACTCTCTTGATACAAATTAATGAAGATATTACTACTCTGCTTTTCAAATTATAATTGTCTATGCTTTTATTATTTGACTTCCCTTAGCATTTTAAAAAATATAAATTGCACATGCTCCAGGTTCCTCATGCTCCATAGGAAGACACTCAATTCTCTGTTGAGACCTGGCTATACATTTCTGAGTGTCGGCCTCATCTACTGTTTCCCACCATCTACAATCTACCCTGTGGACTGCGCTTCCAGATGTGAACCACCTTATGTGTTCAAGGCAGTCTAATCTCATATTTTTTATCATACGTAATAAAATATAACCACATAATGCCCATAAACAATGAAGCACCAGCTCCTTGCCCAAAATGCTTGGGGGATAAAATTAATTTTCTGTCTGATACAAAAGGCTCTTTCTTAGACTTACTGCTGAAAATTTCTGTTCAAAAGCTAAATTATTTCCTGGGAAATGTACTGTTTTGTCGTTTGAAAGTTAAATTAAATTCTCTTAAAATAAAAGGTAAAGCCTGCTCCTGCTCCAAAAGCCTGCTCTTGCGTGCTCGCTCTCGCTCTCTCTCTCTCTCTCTCTCTCTCTCAATGGTGTACAACTTCGGGAATTACGATGTGTTCCAAGGATGGAAGTATTGGTTTTGGGTGAAGTTCCAAATTATTGTGATAGGGCAAAGTTCACTCTTACACTTTTTTTTTCCCTGGTAGATTCAGCTGAGACCAGTGTTTGAGGTTAACTCACATTTGCCTCTTGTTGATCACTGAGAGAGAAAGAATTCCAGAGGGCCCCTGTAGTTAAATTGTGAAATCCCTACATGAGGAGAGAGAAAAGGAGAATATGTCATTTTTTTCCATGTCTCTAATATTCAGAAATATTCCCCTGAGAAAACTGGGGAAAAGAGACAGGGAATAGGGTTATGTGTGCCTAGCTGCTGATAAGCCTTCTCAAACTTTGAAAGAATAACAGGATAACTCCCTGTGGACTAAAAGGCATCTCTGGTCAGCCTCGGTCT